GCTAATTCCTTCAATGCACCTTGGACTTCCTCCCTTGAAATGGTTGAATGTCAACCATTTACTTTTACAGTGACTCTGTGTATTCCTTCCATTTTCTTTTGATGCTTTCTGCATCATTCAACAATTTCCCAGCGAATAGTTCAATAACGAAAGTCGAATCCTGAATTTTTTTCTTCAGTTCCCTCAGCTTGAGAAATGTTAAGCGTGATCTTCCCTTGTGGTTTTCGGACTCCAGATCTTTGCATACCTTGTTGTAATATTTGACTCTTTCTTCTTGAGTTGACCTTTGAAATTTTCTGTTCAGCTCTTGGACCTCCTCATTTTTTTCCATTTGCTTTAGCATTTCTAAGCTGGAGAGCAAGTTTCAGTGTCTTTTCTGACATCCATTTTGATCTTTTCCTTTTTTCTTGTCTTCTTAATGGCTTTTTGATTTCTTCATGTATGGTGTTCTTGATGTCATCCCACAACTCTTCTGGTCTTCAGTCTTTAGTGCTTAATGTACCATCAAATGTGTTCTTCAGATGATCTCTAAATTCAGGTGGGATATATTCGAGGTCATATTTTGGCTCTCATGGACTTGTTTTCATTTTCTTCAGCTTCAGTCTGAATTTTAAAGACACAATCTGTCCCTGGCCTCATTTTGGCTGATGATATGGAGCTTTTCCATCATCTCTTTCTACAGATGTAGTCAATTTGATTTCTGTGTATTCTATCTGGTGAGGTCTCTTATGCTGTGTACAGAAGGTGTTTGAAATGAACAAATCATTGATTTTGCAGAATTCTATCATGCGATCTCCAGCATCACTTCTATCACCAAAGCCATATTTTCCAACTACTGATCCTTCCCATTTGTTCCCAACCTTTGCATTCCGATCACCAGTAATGATCAATACATCTTGATTACATGTTTGATCAATTTCAAATTGAAGAAGGTGGTAGAATTCTTCTATGTCATCCAACTGGCTTTAGTGGTTGGTGTGTAAATTTGAATAATAGTGGTATTAACTGGGCTTCCATGTAGGCACATGGATATTATCCTATCACAGACAGCGTTGTACCTCATGACTGATCTGGATATGTTCTTTTTGACAATGAATGCAATACCATTCCTCTTCAATTGGTCATTCCCAGCATAGTAAACTATGTGGTTGTCAGATTCAAAATGGCCAATACCAGTCCATTTCAGCTCACTAATGCCTAAGATACCAATGTTTATGTATACCATTTCATTTTGGACAATTTGCAATTTTCCTAGATTTATACTTCATACATTCCATGTTTCAATTCTTAATGGATGTTTACAGCTGTTTCTCTTCATTTTGAGTTGTGCCCCATCAGCAATGAAGGTCCTGTGGGCTTCACTCCATTCATGTCATCATGGTCAGCTCTACTTTGAGGCGGTCATTCTTCCCCAGTCGCATTTTGAGTACCTTCCAACCTGAGGGGCTCATTTTCCAGAACTATACCTGACAGTGTTTCTCTGCTATTCATAAGGTTTTCAGTGACTAAATATTTGAAAGTAGTTCATCACTCCTTCTTCCTAGTCTGTCCTCATCTAGAAGCTCATTTGAAACCTGTCCACCATGGGTATCACAGCTGGTATTTAAAATACCCATGGCATAGCTTCCAGAATCACAATAACTCACAAGCCACCACAGTATGACAAACTGACAGATGAGTGGTGGACAAAGGATCATAGTGTTTTAAAAGGTACAATACTAATTCTCGTGTTCAAATAGGTTCTAGCAGACTTGAAAAGATCAAGCAATTCATTGCAAAAATAAAAAGTCTGAATTAAAAATCACTTCCCTTTGGCAGTAGCTCTCAAAATTACAAGACCTATATGTCCTTTGACATAGCTAGACTCCTTCTCAGATTTTGTTTTACTGATACGTTCTGGCACATGAGATATGATACAAGATTGTTCACAGCAGCTTTGTTTATAATAATATCTAGAGAAGCTGGTGCTGTTTCAAAGGATAGCGCAAGCAGACATTATAATGAAATGTGCAAAGATCTGGAGTGCAAAAACCAAAAAGGAAGAATATGCTCAGCATTTTCAAACTGAAAGAACTAAAGAAAAACTTCAAGCCTCAACTTGCAATGTTGAAATTTTATGAGCAAAATATTGAATGATGCAGAAAGCATCAAAAGAAGATGGAAGGAATACACAGAGTCACTGTACCAAAAAGAAATGGTCGATGGTCAACCATTTCAAGAGGCAGCGTACGATGCAGTGCCAATGATACTGAAGGAAGAAGTTCAAGGTGCACTGAAGGCATTGGCAAAGAACAAATCTTCAGGAATTAAAGGAAAACAAACTGAAATATTTCAAAAGCCTGACGCAGCACTGGAGGTACTCACTCTTCTATGCCAAGAAATTTGGAAGACAGCTAGCTACCTAGTCAAATGATTGGAAGAGATTCATATTTGTGCCCATTCACAGGTGACTCAATGGAATGGGGAAATCATCAGACATTATTATTAATATCACATGCAAGTAAAATTTTGCTGGTAATAATTCAAAAAGGGCTGCAACAGTACATTGACAGGAAACTTCCAGAGGTTCAAACTGGATTCAGATGAAGCCATGGAACAAGGGCTATCATTGCTGACAACAGATGGATCTTGGCTGCAAGCAGAGTACACAAGAAAGATGTTTACCTTTGTGGATCATGATAAGCTATGGATAAGAGTGTGAAGAATGGGTATTCCAAAACACTTCATTGTGTTTGTAAGGAACCTGTACATAGACCAAAAGGCAGTCTTTTGAACAGAACACAGGGACATTGAACGGTTTAAAATTAGGAAAGGTTTATGACAGGGTTGTATTATTTCACCATATTTATTCAATCTGTACACTGAGCAAATAATTCAAGAAGTTGTATTGAATGAAGAATTGTGTGGCTTCAGGATTGAAGGAAGACTCATTAATATCCTATGTTATGCAGATGATACAACCTTGTTTGCTGAAAGTGAAGAGGGCTCAAAATACTGATGAAGATCAAAATCACAGCCTTCAGTATGGGTTGCACCTCAATATAAAGAAAACAAAAATCCTCACCACTGGACCAATAAATAACATGAAGATAAATGGAGAAAAGACTGACGTTGTCAATGACTTCATTTTGCTTGGCTCCACTTTCAATACTCATGGAAGCAACAGTGAAGAAATCAAAAGATGTACAACATTAGACAAACCTGTGGCACAAGACTGCTTTAAAGTGTTCAAGAAGAAAAATGTCACTTTGAGGACTGAGGTGCATCTGACCCAAGCCATGATACTTTTAATAACCTTGTATGCATATGAAAGTTGGACAATGAATAAGGAAGACAGTAGAAGAATTGATGCATTTGAGTTCCGGTGTTGGAGAAGAATATTAAAAGTGCCATGGGCTTCCAGAAAAATAAACAAAAAATCTGTGTCAGAGAAGTGCAGCCAGAATGCTCCTTAGAAGCCAGGAGGGCAAGACTTGGTCTCTCATACTTCAGACATGTTATCAGGAGGGATCAGTTCCTAGAGAAGGACATCATGCTTGTTTAAGTGGAGGGTCAGCGAAAAAGAGGAAAATCCCCAACAAGATGGACTGGCACAGTGGCAGCAGCAAAGGGCTGAAGCATAACAATGATTGTAAGGATGGCGCAAGACCAGTGTTTCGTTCTGTTGTGCATTGCGTCACTGTGAGTGGGAAGTGAGTTGACAGCACCTAACAACAACAACCCCTAGGGACTCTTCCCTGCATACATATATGTGTATAGAATGATTTTCGAAGGTATACAGGCTACCCCAGTCATGAACATCTGACTGACTGACACGCCTACTTTCTTTGTTGTTGTTGGGAAGTGCTATCAAGTTGCTTCCGACCCATAGCGACCCTGTATAGGGTTTCAAAGGAGCAGCTGATGAGCTTGAACTGCCAACCTTTCTGACTGTGCAGTCCAGTGCATTAACCCACAGCACCACACCAGGGCACCATGGTGTACCTGTCTTTAATGTTAGGCAAATTTGCCCTAACTTTCAAACAAATGAACCCCACCACACCACACTTGCAATAAATTCTTCATCACAATTACTTTCACTTGCTGCAGATGCTGATTTTAAATTATAGAAAAGGCTCCAAGCCTCTTCTTACACTAAAATGAAGATAAATCAGAACTGCATGCAACTATTCCAACTGAGGGGGTGGGAGGTGGTGGTGGGGGGCCTGCAGGGGTGGGGGAGTGGGAGTGGGGAGGTGAGGTGAGGAGGGTGTGTGTGTGCCATGGAGACAGTTCTAACTCATAGTTGGTTCCCACTCATAGTGATTGCATTGGGATTCTAGGCTGCAAATCTTTATGGGAGCAGAAAGCCTCATCTTCCTTCCATGGAAGGCTGATAGTTTCAAATTTACCTTTCGGTTAGCAGCCCAATTTGCAAGCACTAAGCTAAGACTGGTATACACATTCTTAAAGACCATTAAGAATGGATCTTGTCTATAGCCCAGAGACGGCTTATACAAGTAATTGTTTGTAAAGGTGGTCTCTGAAGAGGCCAATGGGATGGCTGAGGGGAGTGGAGAGAGAGGTGGTAGGAGGAAGACTTGTTACACCTTTGTGTACAGATACATTTAGAATCTGTATCTTATGAATGTATTACCTATTGATTCATAATTGTAAAATGTAAACTTAAGGGAAAAAAAAAACAAAAAACCCACAAGTCACTCCTTGGAAACCCTTTACAGGGTCGCTGAGTCAGAATTGACTTGATACCAGTTTACATTTTCCCTACGAATTCTTTACTTTTAGCTATTTTGGATTTCCTTTTTTATCTTATTAGAAATAAATTTTTAATAAAATAACAAATAGGCTTGAAATCAGAGTGGTCCACTGCCCCCAGCCTCCTGGACGAGCAGACTTTTAGACATTGTGGCCCATCCTCCTTGTGTACTTGTCTTACATCGCTTTCCCATTTCTGCTTCGCAAACATGACCACAGACACACACACACTTCATGTACAGTACCTGGCTCAATTTGGTGTTCTCTTCCAGACAGGAGGCAGCCTTTTCCTGCTGTGTGCTGACTTCCTCAGCCAGCCTCATGATGGTCTCTCTGCTGGCCTTTGACTCCATCTCATGGACACTTATGGTCTCTTCAAGAGTCACAATCTGTCCTTTTGCAAATGCATTCTCCTTGCACAGTTCTCGAAGCTATAGAGAAAGCAATTCCTGCTGTCCATAAAAATGAGCAAGCCCAAACCCTGACCCCTAAGCAAATGTCCAGCTTTGTACATGATCCTATTCAAACAATAAAAATCCTAGCCTTACAGGGACTTCAAAAGTCACTTTATTCAAAGGAAGCCCCTAAACTCTGAGGCTAGGGACAGACGAGGTGGTCAAATGAAAACTACTCAGAAGGTGGCTACAAGGCAGTGATGAGGAGAGTTAAGTCAAAATCTTCCTAAGAGAAGAAGCAAGCACCAATGACAACCCCCACCCCACCCCCACGGCTGTTAAACAATCAAGGGGCAATGATGTTCTGCAGAGATGTGACAGCTAAGCAAAGACAAGGAAGCCAGCAATGGAGTCATCCAAGGGCCACTGAGCACCTAGTGTGTGTGCAAAGTTGTACCTGGCACAGAGAGAATGCAGAGAAGATAAGAGAATATTTCATTTACTAAAAAATACATAAGCATACAAAAATCACTATCTTACAGTGGTTTCTAATGGGGTTTGTTGTCTACTATGGTGTACATTTGTATCTTTGTTGAGTTGTTCATTGGGAGCATATATTCTAAGATTCACCAAGAGGAGAAATGGAACCAGGCAATTTCTTGACCTCACTGTGTAGTGCCAATAGGATGTGAATAGGAAGACATGAGATTCCATGAGACCGACTCCACATTCGGATTATCAATCTCCCCAGAAATGACATATTTCTTAGCTTCAGCATTTTGCCAACAGGATGTCCTGTCCCTAAGTCAGAGCTGTTTACTCTAGACTGAGCATTTTTCCCTCAATTCATTCCAACTTGCTTCTAGAGTGTCCACTTCTAGGGGCCTTTCTTGGCTCTTCTAGCTATACTAAAGTCCTGGTGTGGCGCTGAGGGTTAATGTGCTGGACTACAAGGTCAGTCTGAACCACGAGGTTGGTGGTTCAAGCTCACCAGTCACTCTTCGGAAACCCTATAGAGGGTCGCTATAAGCTGAAACCTACTCAACAGCACTTCACATCAACAATCTACACTAACATCCATGACTCTCACAGGTTCTTCTCTCTAAGCCTGCATCCTGGTTTGATTTTCCTCACTGTGCCTTTCCCTATTTGGGTCATATTAGATATGTATTCATCTACGTCTTTATTAGATCATATCTAATGTGATGGCACTTTACGACAACAGCAACTTCTTTGTTGTCTTTAAGAGATTACTCTGAGGAGAATAGCAAAGGACTCTTGGGGTGCTTCTTAGTAAATAGCCGAAGGCGGCTATTAGGATCTGATGCATAAAAATCTATCAGAAGCCAAGAATAGAGAGTGCTGATTTGTACATTATTGGTGTAAATGAGCAGATACATGAGCATCTCAGGTATACTTATGAACCACTATGGGGCAAGGGAATCATTTAGTTGGTACAATTCATGCTCCCCTTACTGGTAATTAAGGGGTCCTATTTGTGGCGCTGTGGGCTAATGTGTCAGACTGTAAAGTCGTTTGAACTGCAATGTTGGTGGTTCAAGCTCACCAGCTGCTCCTTGGAAACCCTATACAGGGTCGCTATGGGTTGGAATCGACTCAACAGCACTTAACAACAACAGTACGGTGGGTTAAGGGTTGGGCTGCTAACCAGAGGTCAGCAGTTCCAGCTCACCAGCTGCTCCACGAGAGAAAGGTGGATTCGTCCGCCTTGGAAACCCCGTGGCGCAGTGCTACCCTTCCCTATGGTGTTGCTCTGAGTGAGAACTGATGTGGCAGAAGTGGGTTTGGCATTAGTCTATCGGCTATTTACCATGACATCAGGATGCTTATTTAGTTTCATGTAAAATTTTAAAAATATTTGAGAACTAATCCTAATTTTATACTCATTAAGTATCTAAAAAAAAATGACACACAGCTGTTTAGTTTTTTCATTTTGGGTTTTTGGTTTTGTTTTCAATTTGTATATTTGCTTTTTGGTGTTTCTGTCTAGCACTTAAAGGAAAAAAGTCCCCCCAAAACATATTATTATGATGAATCAATTGTTTTTGACATTCTAAATATTGTGTGTGTACCAGTAAACCAGTTGCTGTCAAGTCAATTTCAAGTTATAGTGACCCCATGTGTTGCAGAGTAGAATAGCACTTCATAGGGTTCTCAAGACTGATTTTTGGGAAGCCGATATCCATGCCGTTCTTCCTAGGTACCTGTGTGTGGGTTCGAACCATCAACTTTTCAGTTAGTAGTAAAGAGATGAGCAGTTTACACCTCCCAAATAAATTATAGACAATAATTAATCCCTCTTAAAGAATAAGTAATCCTAAATAATGACAGAAAGGGTTTGGAATTGAGGCTCAGAGAAATGATGGGGTTGGTCCTAGCTCCCACAGCAGTGACTCCCACAGTGGGGCTCCTGCTTGATTCTCCTGACACCCCCAGCCCGGGCTTCTTTCATGCCACAGGTCAGACTGTCCCCTATGTTTACAGTCTTTTTAAATCTGTATATAAACACCTTTAAAATCAAATCTTCATCTGATGCTTTTTCATTCTTCTTATCCAGATCCAAGCAGTCGTGAAGTTGAGACAGAAATTCCTCCTGTTTTCTGCAATTCTTTGAGACTTCATTCTTATTCTCCTCATTTTCCTTTAAACACTTTCTACCAAGCAAACAACAAATAAGTCAGGATTAACACCATGAACATTCCTCAAAGTTCAGAACCTCAAAGCTCTCTGGGGTAGTAACTATTGTCATTTTCAACACAACACAATTTCCCAGTCATAGAACAAACGCTTCTCACATAAATTCCTACCCTCAAGGATGAACAGAAAGACAGAAAACAATCAAAACATTAATGTGCAAGGGGGGGCAGCAAAAAGTGCCTAGAATGGAATGAAAAGGCAAAGGAATTTTTATATGAAGACACCCCCCCCCCCATACGTAAAGTATATAGTATGTTAGGAAAGGCTGGAGAGAATAATACAGCAGAAAAGGGCATAAGCATATTGGAGGGTGAAATCTTAGCTGGAGGGGCCATGGAAGACCACCTCATTGAGAAGGTGACTTTAAATGAAGAACTAAAGGAAGGTGAGGTGCAAACCATACCAGGGGAGGCAATTTCTACACAGAGTGGTTAGCAATTGCAAATGTCCTGAGGTAGAATGATTATGGCATATTCCAGGGACAGGAAAGAAGCTAGTGAGTTGATATGGGAAGAATAGGAAAACAATAATAGCACACCCAGATCAGAAGGAACCTTGGCTATTGTTAAGTGCCGTCAAGTCGGTTCTGATTCATAGTAACCCTGTGTAGGGTTTCCAAGGAGTGGCTGATTCCAATCAACCTTCCAATCCAGTGCATTACCCTGCAGCACATCAGGACCCCAATGATAAGGAGGCTTTGTTGTTGTTAAGTGCCGTCGAGTCGGTTCGGACCCATAGCAACCATTTATAGGGTTTCGAAGGAGAAGCTGGTGAACTCGAACCTTGTGGGTTTAACCCACAGCGCCACACCAGGACTCCAAGGAGCCTCTGTTGTTGTTGTTGTTGTTGTTGTTGTTAAGTGCCATCAAGTTGGTACCAACTCATAGCAACCCTGTATAGCATTTCCGAGGAGCGGCTGAAGAGCTTGAACCACCAACCTTGCAGTTCAAAGTGACGGGCAGAGAAAATACTTTGGCCATTGTGGAGGAAAAGTTACTGGGGGCTCTGCCGTGATCTGACTTGAACCCCAGCAGGACTGCTCTGATGCAGGCAGCCACAGGCATGGCAGGAGTCCACGTGAGAGACGACAGAGACCTGGACCAGGTTGGAAGCAGCGGAACGTTGTCGGAGTTTAGATTTATGTTGAAGGATGGGATATGAAGTGTGAATGAGAAAGAAAACCACAATGATCCCAAGACCTTTGTCTTGGTCTCCTGGAGAACAGTGAGTCCTGGTGGCGTTGTAGGATACGCACAAACCCACCAGCCACACACCTTGGAAACTACACAGTGTCATTAAGAGTCAGAACTGCATTGAACAACAGCTGGAAGAAAGGAATTATCATTACATGAAATGAGGAAATGTGCCTAGGGATTTGGCAGGAACACCAAGAGCTTACTTTTGGGCATGTCAAATATGAGATGCCCATCCCCACAAATATATAAAATTATGAAAGAGGGCATTTGGACATGGATATTTATCTTTGTTATAAACGCACCTATGAATGTGGTGGAGTATACAACAGGAAAAATGATGAACACTTCTTTGTTGTTGTTAAGTGCCATCGAGTCAGTTCTAACTCATAGAAACCTATATAGGGTTTCCATGGAGCCATTGGTAGGTTTGAATCACCGACCTTACAGTTCAAACAGATCTTACAGTCCAGTGCATTATCCTGCAACGCCACACCAGGACACAAACATCTTAAGGCAATGCGTTACTGAGTCTGGGGCACAGGATCATAGGCTCAAAGGACACCATGGTCAACCAGCATTAACACAGTCCACTAAGACAGTGTTCTATATCCTACTGTGGTGAGTAACATCTGGCTCTTAAAAGCTCAGGAGAAATGTACATCTAAAAAAAAGAAAATGCCGTTGAATGATGATGCATGAAGGGTATTATAATCATTGCAATAAAACAAAATACGATAGGATGAGTGTAAAAAAAAAAAAAGTTAAAAGCTCATGAGCAGTATCTAAGGTGTCTCTGTGTGCAGAGGGAAGAAGAATGATGTGCACGGAAGATGCTTGGAATCAATCAGTTCATTGAATTAATGGAACATGTGAAAATAAGTCTCCACGACTGTGAGACCCAAAGAACTAGATGGAGCCACTACCAGCTGCTCTGAAAGAGATCATATTAGAAGGTTCCAGATAGAGTGGGAGAAAATGTGAAACAAAACTCAAAACTATTATCTAAAAAGACTGGACTTACTGTTCAGAAAGAAACTAGAGGAACCTGAAACTATCGCACTCAACCACCCTTCAGGTATAGAAAGGAATTCACCTCATAGCCCAATTTTCACAAAGCAGTAGACAGATATATTGGCAAGGGGGGGGGAGGGGGGGAGGTGGAGACAACAACACTACAAAGCTCTGCTTACAACGAAATAGTCACTCATTCAAAATCAAACGGACATTTACCTAAGGACAAAGTTGAGAAGGGATGGGTGGGATGGAAACAGGAACTACAGGAAGTAGGATAACTGTTGTTCTATGGAGGGGATTGCAATCATTGAGATGAAACAAAGTATAGGATTTGTTAGACGTAAAACTGATGATCTTGTCTGTAAACTTCACTGAATTCACAATAAAAAGTTAAAAAAATATATATATATATAAATGCCTATTGGACATCTAGGAGTCCTGGTGTGGTGCTGTAGGATCAGTACTGGACTTCAAATCACAAGATCAGCTGTTCAAACTCACCAGCTGCTCCTCAGAAACTCTATACAGGGTCACTATGACTTGGAACCAACTCAACGGCACTTACCAACAACAATTGTACATCTGAGTCCTCTGATGGTACAAACGGTGAAATGCTCAGGTGCTCTCTAAAAGGCCGGCAATTTGAATCTACCCAGAGATGCCTCTGAAGAAAGATTGGAGATGCATTTCCAAAAGAGTACAACCATTGAAAACCACACGGAGCTCAAGTCTACTCTGACACACACGGTGTAAGCACGAGTCGGACTCAACTTGATAGCAACAGATTGGGTTTGAGTTTGATTCATTAGCCATCCCTGGAGATGTCCAGTAGTTCTTAAGATGTGTGAGTCTTGAGAACTAACTGGGGAGAGACACTGACTTAGAAGCTCTCTAAAGCCATGAGACTAGATGAGATCGCCAAGAGAATGAGTACAGAGAAAGCAAAGAGACCAGAGACCAAGCCTGAGCCCTAGAACACTCCAATTCTTGGTGGTCAGAGGGATAAGGAGACTGTCGTAAAGCAACTAGAGGTAAGACAAGCAGTGAGCATTGTCCTGGAAGGAATGTCCTGGGAGCCAGAGAAGGAAATGATTCAAGGAGAGAGACCAAATGTGCCTAACACTGCTGACAGAGGCTCGTCAGATAAGGCTGCCCATGAAACCTACAATGTAGGGTAACTGAGAGCCTGAAGGAATGGTATTCTTTAGGGCAGAGTCAATAGAAGATGGAGGAGAGAAACTGGAGGCAGTGACTATAAGCAAATACTTCAGAATTTTGCCGTAAATAGAAAAGACAGGCGCTGCAATTAAGGTATATAAAGTGTTGGTTTGTTGGGTTTTTTTAATGGAATATATAAAATAAATATCCATTCTTCTATCAATACAGCTATCTAAGTCATTTGTAAACATTTAAAAGTTTTTAGAAACAACTAGTATTGGAGCTCTGGTAGCGTAGTGGTTATGAATCAGGCTGCGAACCTTAAGGACAGCGGTTCAAAACTACCAGCTGCTCTGCAGGAGAAAGATCAGGCTTTCTACTCCCGTAAAGATTTACACCCTCGGAAATCCTGTACAGGGTCGCTATGGGTCGGAACCGACTCGACAGCATTTAACAACTTAACAACAACAAGCTTTCAGATTTGTCCAATTATCATTCTTTAAAATTTATTTATTTGTCAGAAATGTGTATGAGCACTGTTGTGGAGCTGTAAGATAAGCACTGGACTTCTAATCACAAGGTCAGCAGTTCAAACACACCAACCACTCTTAGAAACCCTACACAGGATACCTATGCATTGTAAATGACTCGGCGACACTTAACAGCAACAAGAATGGAAATCTTCACTTCACAAGTCCTCTACATAAATCCTGGTGTGGCACTGTGGTTTAATGCACTGGACTGCTAAGTCAGTTTGAACCACAAGGTCAGAAACCCTATACAGGGTTGCTATGGGTCCTCAGCAACAAAAGCGAAAACATAAATCAGCAATAAAACCTAGTGATACGTCCTCAGAATGGGATGGGTTTCGTGGTAGATGTATAGTTAATTTCTGAATAGCTACTTCCCTGCTGTGGTGCTGTAGGATCAGTATTGGACTGCAAACCACAATGTCAGCAGTTCAAATCCACCAGCTGCTCCCCAGAAACTCTATACAGGGTCGGTGCAAGTCACAACCAACTCAATGGCACTTAACTAATTTCCATGTTACTCTGCTGCCTCTAAGTTATAAAAACTTCCAAATTGTGGATGCAAACATTTGCAGGCCTGGTCATTATTGGGACATACACATACTTAGGACAATTCCCTAATTTTTGAAGCTCTTGAGGACATTTCAAAATGGACTTGGGACACATTTTCAAGACTCCAAAGATACTTGATGGAAGTCAATCATTTTTTTAAATTAAGTTTCACGACCAAATGATACAGAATAGCAGTCCATTTGAAGGTGCAAACTGCTATCAGAAGCTGATATTTGAACATTAAACAGAGAGGTACATTTAAATCCCCTTACTGTAATTTTTCTTCTAATGCTGTAAGTTTCATCTTTAACCCTTGGTTCTCCTTGATGGTGGTGTGAGCTGTAATTTCTGTTCTCATTTTCGAAGTGGAAAGTGCTGTTCTTTCTCCCTCTAGCTCCTGAACTCTGTCTCTCAACGAGCTGAGGAGAGATGATTTTCGGGCATTGCTCTCTTTATAGCTCTCCATTTCAGCTTTCAACTCTTGACAGGAAACTTCTTTAGAAAGCATCTTGGATCGGAGGTCTCGAAGCTAATAGAAAAGAAGCAAAAAAAAGGAAAAGAAATCTAATCATATAAACCTGAAATACTTTTAGCAAATCCAAAACTAAAATTTAAGTTTCATTCATCTTCATGATTTAATCCAACTTTCTTTACATTTTTCTTTCTTCCACATCTGTATCTGTATTCCCAAATGAGAAATTATACCCAGATAGGATAAGCACTTGACCACAAGGTTGATAGTTCAAACTCACCACCGCTCCTTGGAAACCCTAGACAGGATCACCATGAGTTGGAACCAACTCGATGGCACTTAGCAACAACAACCATGGACTTCATATTCTTTTTTCAAAACCAACTGAGAGATGATGGCCTGTATTGATTAAAGTCTAATCCAAGAGACAGTTGTGGTGCATTTTGCAAAAAGCAAGAAACTGTTTTGCGATGGTAACCCATTTTCTAAATCCATATGGCTGTTGCTGCTGCTTCTGCCACTGCACAAGAAACTTATGAGCCATGCTACTCTGGTAGCGTAGTGGTTACGAATCGGGCTGTGAACCTCAAGGTCAGCAGTTCGAAACTACCAGCGGTTCCGTCGGAGAAAGATGAAGCGTTCTGCTCCCGTAAAGATTTACAGCCTCGGAAACCCTGTGCATGGTCGCTATGGGTCGGAACCGACTCCACGGCACTTAACAACAGCAACAGCTTGTGATTACACTGTCACAACTGGTACCCACATAAAAGCAGACTCGTCAATATGGCATTATATACCCTACTTACTTTCTGGACCTTAATTGGATGTGGTTTTTAAAATGTATATACATTCAGATTTCTGAGGAAAAAAATATGGGAGAAAAGGATAGTCCTTATAGAATCTATAGACAAGAACCATTTCAACTTTCATGACTTTTGTGACATCAAAGCACTGAATCATGTTATGTGTTATATTGAAGTTACGATGTCAGGTCGACCCTATAAGAAAACTTGATGAATACAGGTACTGCTTAAGAACCACGAGTATGCATACAGACATTCTCATACACATGCTATAGACTCATCTTTCAGTTGGGTTCTGACATCTGTCACCAGACTACTACCTCACAGCCAAGCCTAGGATTGCTCAGGGCCACTGGGTTATGAACAAGATGAGTCTACGGAAACTCACCACTGTAGACCAATCTAGCCTTGACTTTCCCAGTCATCTTCATAGAAGTTCCCTAGCCAATCACCTCTAGCACAGGAAAGGAATTCAGAATTACCTATTAAGAGCTCCTGATTAAAGGAAGATACCCCAAGTGATGCTAAAAAGTCTCCAAAGCGAGTTCAATGACCAGAGAAGCCTGAGTTTTTCTAACTCTGCAAAAACCCACCAGACTGCCAGCATGGTTAACTTGAGTTTAGTGATAACCATTGATTTTGACTTGGGTTTAATGGTAACCACCGATTCGTCACAGAAAATCTAACCCACCCAGCCTCCCTTTCTTTCTCTCTCCTTCCCTTTTTTCTTTCTTCCATCCTGCCTGTCTTTGTTTCTTTGTTCTATGCTATTTTAATTAGGAACTCTGGTGGCACTACAGAATAAGCACTGTACTGTTAACTGCTAGGTTGGCAGTTCAAATCCACAAGACACTTCATGGGAGTCAGATAATGCTTTCTACTCCCATTAGAATTTACACTTTCAGAATTGTAATTCCAGGATTGCTGAAGGTCAGAATGGACTTGATGATGGTATATTTTTGTTGCTTTTTAAGTGCACATACCCTTCCCCTTGTCAAACTTGACAAAAGATGCTTTGATACTACTGGTAATATGTGCATAATTAAGATAGTTCCCAAGTTAAAAAAAAAGTCTCCAAAGACCATGAAACTTCCAGCCAAGGCCCTCAGTTGACCCCAGATATTATCTCAAGGCTGTACACCTTCCTCTGAGACCTACAATTCAGGCACCTTCACCCTTTCAAAATTTCCTACAACTAAGTAGCACTGTGGGTTAATGCGCCAGACTTCAAAGCCATTTGAACTGCAAGGCCAATGGTTCAAGCTCACCAGCTGCTCCTTGGAAACCCTACACAGAATCGCTATGGGTTGGAATTGACTCAACGGCACTTAACAACAACAACAAGGGGTAGACACATAATAAGAAAAAAACTACATTTGGCCAATAGCTTTGAATCTACTACAAGAACAAGCAAGTTGCTTGCCCAGGAGACATCAAGGCAAGTGGTCAGGTCCCCTCAGGGAAAACCCCCTTCCAAGGCTAACACTCAGTGGGAATACACGCTCTGATTGGTGACCACGCTCATCACCGATAAGGGGAAGTGAGGGAAAAACAGCAATGAAGCTGCAAGCTAAGCCCTACAATGTTCAATAGACCCCTGTGAACCCGGGTGGAAACCTGGTTGGCCAGCAGTGTGGCAAGACCTGGGGATTCTTGGGGCCAGAGTCAGTGACATAGCCACAGAGGACTAGAGTGGAGCATCCAGCTGATAAGAAGAGAGGGCATATGCACAAGAACATCCACACTTGCAGATAATACCCACTTGACCTGGCTTCAATGACTGGATGATCAGAGCTCAACTAGAAGAAGCAAGAAGAGGAAAAAAGAGTAATCTGATACAATTTGATGAATTTAACCTACACCTATGGATGCAGTAGCTCAAAAGAGGGAACAAATCCTTACAGCAAGGATCATTCCCACACAGAGTAGACAAGGATGGGCAACTTGGACATTGGCTACCCAAAATGGGGGGCTACAAAGGCAAGAAGTGACTGGCTTACAAGCTTTCAAGAGGGGAACCTAGATTCAGAGGATGTGTAGGAAGGTAGAATCTCCACTGAGTAGTATCCAATTTGTCTAGGCAGGGCTGATGAAATGAAATGTGGATGGGTCTCTTGTGATACTATAGTGAATAATTGTTATCAGGACTGACTGTGAGGGTTGGAAATGTAAAGGTAGATGTTTTATAGCAAGGAGGGAAGTGATTAAATTTTCAGTCTAGGAGCAGAGGTCTCTGGGACATCAAGGGAGAAGAGCGGAGAGCAGGACCATACCCAGAGAAGCAATGATGCCTGAGAGGGAGACAGAGACAATGACGTGGAGTGATGGAGCAGTTGGGGATTTTAGACCCAGAGAGGGAGAGGGGCTGTGTGCTGACCAAGGGGGTGTGGAGAGGGAAGGGGGGAACAGGCTTGTAGTGTATACCCTTTGGTTGGTTGATGATGCATGGAAAGGACTGTAACCATGGCAATGAAATGATATACGATAGGATGAATGTAAAACTAATGTTCTCCCATGTAAACTATCACATAATTCACAATAAAACATTAAAAAAAAAAAAAAAAAGCTCTGAATCTGTACCCTATGGTCCTATTTCTAAAGGCCTCTAAGCTCTGCTCCACTCTATAAAAAGCTAAAAAGGCCCACTGCTGATGGATGAGAGTGTATTCTTACCTCCGACTGAGCACATTCAAATTTGACCACAGTGGCCGCCAGTTCGCTCTGAGCATTTTCAGCCACATTCCGATAATGATTTACTTGCTCCCGAGTGACTGGAACTTCCAAAATATGACCATAAGTTTCCTGGTAGGGTTCCCCCAGAAGACAAAACATAAAGAAGGGTGTTAAACAATCTTTTCTGTGCAGCTGTGCAAAGCCAGATTAATGACAGAAACATGCTTTGTGTTTCAAATGTGTTGGGAAAAATAAAGCTAACCAGAGCAGTAATTTGTTTAAATCATTTCACTCTTTTCCTCAAAATTCAGAATGACTCCTAGTGCTTTTCATTCTACTCTGTTAACTGAGTCTGGACAACTGCAATCCCAGTCCTATATTGCCCATTCAAGAACATCTCCTAATTTGTCCCTGCCTGAGTACATCCTGTTTCTCCTTCAAACGCATCTCAAATCTCAGCTTCTTTGCAGCACCAACATACCAGGGTAAGTCAAAAAGGTCTTGCTACTAAGGTTTCAGTTAACACACGCACAGATTTATCCCAAACAATATGTGTTAAGAATGTCTCTATAATCAGAGGATGGCTGCTAACAAGTTCTCTCAGTAAAACACTTGTCATAGTCTTGTTAGGATGTCTTCAAAAAAAAAAAGGTCCAATCTATAAAGTAGTCTTTGTAGTAATCTCTTGGGTCAGTAAAATTCAAGGCAAAGAGGTCATTTTAGAAGGTTATGCCATTTTAGAAGGTTATGTTTCGGGGGATTCCAAAGAGGTGATGGAGTCCTGAGGTGGTGTTATAGGATAAGCACTGGACTGCTAACTACAAGGCTGGCAGTCCAAACTCACCAGTCACTCCTTGGAAACCCTATACAGGGTTGCTACAAGTCAGAACTGAGTCCATGGTACAATAATGGGGTAATATCAACAGATGTTTCAAAGGGCACAGGATGATCACAGGAGCTTGTCAGGAAAAAGTGTTAGGAAAATTGAGAACTGCGTTGGTGGGGGAAAGGCCAGGCAAGGTGCCCCAGTGAATTTTTTCCTTCCACAGCGATGGGCAGCAAGGGCTGGCCTATGAAAAGTTCATTCAGAAACCTTAACCCATCCACCCAACAACCCTGATCTCGCCCCTTCAGGCTTCCTTTTGTTACCAAAACTCAAGAATTTTTGCAAGGAACAATATTTGAGTCCCTCGAGGATGACAAAATTGCTGTTTAGATGTGGTGTAAATTGAAGGGCACAGAATTTTTCAGGAATGGGTTAGAGAAACGGAAACATCTCCTGCAGAAATGTGTAGACCTAGATGAAGGATGGAGGGAGTGCTGGTGTGGCCCTGTGGGTTAATGCGCTGGACTTCGGGTCACTTTGAACCGCAAGGTCAGTGGTTCAGGCTCACCAGCCACTCTTCAAAAATCCTATACAGGGTCACTGTGAGTCGAAGACTTGAACTCTGAAACTTGCTCTCCAGCGT